ATGCTTAGCATGCAAGGCTCCGTCTGAACGCAAAACGGCTTCAGGCTTCTGAATATGGACTTGTCTCACGCTAGCCCAGACGTTGGGGGTTTCTTCTCTATTTAACCACCTATTAGTAAGGGCGGCAAAGACAATCCAGGCTTGAGCAGGCCAAAAACTTAATTCGTCACCACTCCAACCATCAGGCCCAGGAGCTTTGCCACGCTGCTGCGCAGCTTGGATCTGGAGCTCTTGTGGTGTGATGTCATTCCAAGGCTGTTCCGGCTCTGCTGGCATGTGTTGTTGCCAGGCTTGGGTTGCTCTATCGAGGTCAGGCCCCTGCCGGTGCCAAATACCTTCCCAGAATTTACGAATGGCCTCAAGTGATTTTTGGTTGTTGGATGAAGGCCTGCCCTGCTCAAAAGTGTCTTCATAGACAGAAGTGACCGGCACATGATGTTCCCTGCGCACCCACTTGGCAGCCGCCTTGGGATCGGAACGAATGTGCTGACGCCATTTCTGGAGACGCGCAATTTTCTCTTGGCGGAGAAAGCTTTCAAGTTCACTGTGACACCAAGATTGAATATCCTCAATCCTATGGAACCCTTGATTACGAACCAATGGGTGGTGCCAGATGCGTTTCTTCAAGATGTTAGGAATCGGGGCGTCTTGCTCAACTAGCCGCATGGCTTCAAGAACACGACCAAGCAACCTTCGCAGCTTGAGTTCATGACACGACGCATTTTGCTTAAGCCTAAAGGTCTCAGGACGGATAGCAGTAACTTGCAGGTCGGTGCCTTTAGGCCTAGTTCCTCTCTGAGTTGGGGGCTCAACGCCACACAAAGTCATTGCACGATCATAGGCTTGCTCAGCGACTCTGCAGAACCACTGCCACTCTTGCTCAGTGGTAGATGACGGCGGAATTGAAACGTCCGCCCACGCAGCCTCACAGGCGGCCTTCCAAGCACCAGGCGAGATGTCTGAAGGCGGCAACAACCGTCTGGTCGGCACAGCTCGATATGTTCGGACACTCTGCTGATCAACTTTGACTTGGCAAGTCACAGCCTTGTGATCTGCGAAGAAAACAGGAACAAAATCGAGTTGCGAAATCATGTGGGGGTGGGAGGACCACAACCAATCAATGCACCTCCGCCCTTTCCACCTAGTAGGCTCATACTGGCCTTCCGAGTTACGGACTGCAAGTGAAGCCCCTGAGCCCTTCAGCCACGTCCATCGGTCCGAGGCATCAGGGGGGCTTGTTGAAGTCTCCAGCCACTAACACCGGTTCAAGTTCACTTGTTGAGCGGACCCACTCATCAATGGTCGGCAGCAGTTGACAATCATCGGCCGGGTTGGGCGCCATGTATACCCCGATCAGGCAAAGGTGAGCTAACTGCACCATAATGGCCTGCCCATCGACAGAGGAAAAACGAAAAACCTCATGACACGATTTGTCCATTCTAACAAGGACAGCGACCCCACCTATGACATAATTGCTGCGAATACCCTGCAGACTGGGAGACGACACCATCCAGCTGCGGTAGCCATGACGAGACAAATACCGAGCCAGGTCAGCTTGCTTGTCCGGACGAAGCCAGTGCTCTTGCAAAATGACCACAGGTGGACGAGTGTCAACCACCCACCTAGCGCATGCCCAAGCATTGCTCGTGCCCCCTACATTACATGTGATAACTTGCAAGTTTTGGCAAGATGTACTACACGGGCCCGGGTTGGGCTCTACATCACCATCTGCACACAAATCGCGGATCCACTGGTGCTTTGACAGCGGGGGAACATCTTTGTTGGCCTGGAGACGCTTTTCCAAGAGGTCAAGCTCAGATTTGGTGAGGCGCCATTTGTCAATGAAGAATTTGACGGCACTGAAATCCTTCTGCCGACGACACCGAATCCAAGTTCGCTTCCTGGAAGGACTTGCCAAGACTTTATTTCGACCCTTTGACCCTGGGCAGGCATGCAATTGAAGGCCTGTCTTCCCTTTGAATTTCTGAAACACAATGGTACAAACTCCACAGCAAAACCTTCCCGAAGAACCACTGGAAAACTTGGCCGGGATGCGAAAGGCCCGATTTTGCGAATCAGAGTTGTATGCCTCCAAAGCCCTATCCGTAGATTGCGTGGCTTTGGCGGCATTGTCTTTGACCAGTTGAGCATGGTGGCTTTTCCAAATCGGGCTCTTGTAATGCAATCTGACAAGTTTCTTCTTTGTCAGCTTATAGCACTGCATGACATGAGCGTCGCGGCTTATCTTGAGCGCTCTTTTTCCCATGTAAGCCAAACCCTTTCCGCATTTCGGACATGACCAAGCTCTTTGTGCATCTGGAATCTGTTTTGAAGCGACAGCGATTTGCGGAGTCTGGCGCCTATTAAAACACGTAGCCACCTTGTCTCGGTGGGCACTGTGCTCTTTGGCAATGTGTCTCCTCCGTGCATCCATCAAAGTTCTTTTGTTGGCATACCGAAACACTTGCTGACACAAATTACACTCCCAAACAAATTTCTCTTGCAAACCTGCCGGAGCAGGAGGAGCACGACTCGAGGAAGCGGACGATCTAGCTGTCTTCAAGGATGGTACCTTAGCACGCCTGGACACGGCACAAACACTTGCGTTATGAGAGCCAGAGGCTCGAGCAAGTTTCCCGTTGTCTGAACTCCGGGTACATGGAGTGGTGGCGGGTCGCCAACCACTAGCTTCACTTAAACTAGGACAATGCTTGCGTCGTTTGGTAGCTTGCTGGTTGACACAATCCGGTTGGCGTTTATTGGAAACGGAAGGTGTCGCGGCAGGGCGCCAGCTCTGCACACTGGCCCGCGACGGAGTGGCAGCAGGGCGCCAATCGGCCGAGCACGTCGATTTCCCTCCTCCTCGGAAGGCAGGGCTGGCAACAGATGCTTGACAGGCATTGACCCACTCCTTCGGCCATTGACGTCCAGACTTGAGCTGAGCCAAGGTGTAGTGACCCTCTAAGGAATCAAGCAACAAAACAATGGGAGAGCGGGTCTTTGCTTCGCCAAAAGCCATGGGTTTGTCTTTTTCTTCGCCACGGAGAGGTATCACGATGATCTGTATTCCGTATCGGCGCGAAGCTGCTTGGAGGCTGAGGCCGTCGATCCACCTATGTTCTCTGAGCGTGGACTCCAGGTAGTCCTGCCAGGAGGTGGGTGTGGGCCCTGCATCGATGGTTTCATTCTTCTCCGTAGGGGGAACAAACCAAGATGCATATTCAGTACCATGTTTTGCCATGTGTTTGTACAAGTCGTTGCGGACTGTACGTCCACGAGTCTCAAGCACATCTCTGATGTCATCAAAGGTCTGGCCTTTTTCCAAAGCAAGCCCTGCGGCAAGGCAGTTGTAACCACAATTGCCATTCCCTCCGCACTCTAAGGAAAAAAGTTTGTCTGAGAATGGGGCCGCAGGCCCCTCAGCAGGGAGCGTGTCTTTCTTCCCTAAGCGATTCGGCGATCGGCTACGGTCCCGGCCGTTGTCACTTTGTGCTTTTTGGCCTGGTGAGCTGGCGCTGGCTTTGATTTCAAGCTTAGCAGTCTTATATTGCGGTTTAATCACAGACAAAACCTCAGCAGACCTACGAATCTTGTTTTGAACCCGGTTAAGGAACGCATCGACACAGCCTCGAATCTTCTGCACGCCTCTCAGCTGATCCGCAACAGCACTGCAGTCTCCACCTGCAGCTGGATTCCCCCAAGTGAGCACCGATCCATCAGAGATAATTGCGGCAAAGGCAAAGGAAGAAGCTTGAAGCTGTTGCACAAAGCTGTCCCCATTTCTCAGGTCTTTCACAGAGCTGCAGTCACCACCATATTCTGGATTGCCCCAGGCAACCACCCCTCCACAGCAACACAACGCAAAGGCTTTACCGGTAGCGATGATCTGTGGAAGCTGCACCACTGCAGACAGCGTGTCGCCGTCCCAAAGCCCGGCATCCGCCAGGGAGTCGGTTGCGCGGAGCCTCGTGCCGTCCGTGCGCATCAGCTCCAAAGCGCACACCCCGAAGGACTTCTTCGCCTGAGATGGGATCGGCCGACGAGACGAGTGAACTCGAATGGGATGTTCATCCGAAGAAGCGAAACGCCATGTACCAGGAGTCGACAGGTCGGGGGCCCTGTTTAGTCCCTATAGTGAGTGGGATAGTGGGCACCCCGACTTGTGACTCGTGGCATGTAGTTGTTTTTTCTTCAGGCTGGTCAGCGAACGATCAAAAAGAGTGGAACATCGATCACATATTTCAAATTTATCTTCTTTTGAGAGACCCCACACAAATGTTTGTTTTTCTTGCAATCAAGGTCACCCGAATCTTCAACTCCATCACCCGCGAGTGAGCATTGGTTGATACAGTGACAGAGCGACCACTGGGCAGGGACACGTGGACTCTGCAAGGTCGATCCTCACCGGGTGGACCCATCTGCACGCCCAGTTTGGTCGATCAGCACTCTACCCGGCCTGTCGATCGACAGATGTTGGCTTTTTGGGTTTGGAGACGTCTCTACCAGGCCTGTCCTGATGGGAACAGTGGCTTCTCTTAAAACAAACGAAACAGTCAATCCTTGGCAAGGTGTTCAGGAACTTTCCTGCACTATATATATAATACTAGTCCTCCTGTTCCGATGCTCCTAGACCTGGGAAGTCAGAAACATCCAAGGAACATTGGAAATGACATGACATTACCCTATGACTCTAGTGGCTCTAGTGGCTAGTGAGGGTCTAATGACATGACCCTATGACTCTAGTGGCCTATGAATCAAAAAAGAAACGTACTTGGAGGGTCTAGTGACGCATCAGATTGCTATGACGCATCAGATCAACCCCCGCATGCAACTAGGCGACCAGTGGGCCACTACCCAATCCCTGCAGTGAAGGGGATGGACCGTTGAAGCACAACAAAAACGTACTTGTACCACCTTTTAGGGGTTACGAACTAAGTATACCGTATACCTGGACAATCCCGGGTGGTGTCCGTGTCTGTGTCCGTAGGTTAGAAATCTCAGAGTCCAACTCCCGAAACAATACTTTGAGTTGTTCATCAGCAAGGCAGGTTCGATAGATCTCATTTCTGCCCTTTTGCCAAAACATCGTTTTCCAGGAGATTCAACTCCAACCTTCGGCGCTCCAACTGTTGACTCAAAGAGCCGTTACACATCATCGTTTTGTGAAGCCACACCTCTGTTTGCTGTTCCGTCTTTCGACCCCGATGGGCTTCAGAAGCTTGCTTGAGGAAAAATAGCTGCAGTCGACGGCTTCCCTCGTCCGAACCCGTGGGTTGCCTTGCAACCAACATTTACCCCGACAAAGATCCTCACTGGCTCGGATTTCGGCCGAGGCCTTGTCCTTTTCGGCCGAAAAAAAAAAAAAAAAAAACTCCCAGAAAGGACGGTGATTCATCAAGAAACGGGCTCACTCAGGTTCGAACGCGTACACCAAACCATGTTCATGTACGATGTAATGGATGTTGATATGGTGATAAACTGTGATGTTCAAGAAGAAAAACAACTGGTTGTAGCTCATTTCAGCTTGTTTGCGGCGACCAAAAAAAGGGGACATTGAGGCTGACGTTTTTCTGGTGAAAATATCAAATTACAGTAATTCAAAATCACTGTACCTGGAGTCTCCAAGTACCTCAGAAGATGGGTATTGACAAAATGATACATCCCCAGTAAAATTCACACGACAACCCTGGGGGGAGCTGTTTGTATCTACAGGTCCAAACCAACCAATCCATCTATAAAATCATGGCCCCCAAGATAGAAACCTTAAGTCTATAATATTGGGTTGGGGGTTGGCCTGAGTGGGCTCACATACATTTATCAGAAAAGTGCGCTCTCTATAAGATCAACCCCTCCAAAAAATGCTTAAACAACCATCTCTATAAAATGTGTCCTAACCTTTTTCAAAACTATAGTGGGTGGGTGCACATGCTCGAGTCAACGGAAAGATATAAACACAAATGTCGTTTCTATAAAATGGACCCTGCCTTTCAAATCATGTTTTTGCCAACATGCTCAATTACCCTGATGACTCTACAAATCAGGAACACCCAGGACAGTGATTTTATAGACAACCAACATTTTCTATACAAAATGGTCGTTTCCAAAACAGGGGTTGACCCAATTTGTTGAGGAAACTTCACAGGGGATGATGATACAAATACTGGCTATTTCTTCGCGTCAAGTCCCCTTTTCGGTACAAACTGGAGGATCCAAGAAGAACTCGCCTCGCCAGTCGCTCTTCCTCGTCTCCGTCTCCAATGCTCGTTTGCTTTTGGCCTCACATTCTTCAGCACGCTGGGCCACGGAGTGCAACTTGGCTTCGAAGTCCTGGACCAGGTCCAGTGGAGCCGAGTACCGTCAGAAGACCCGTGGCGGTTCCAGCGGGGTCATCTCAGTACGTATGCCGATGTATCCCGTAGACCTTGGGTCTAACCATGTCTATCCCATTACCACGTCACAGTGGATGATGGTTATAGTCTTTTCATGTCTTTTCTCTAAAATAGAGATAATTTGTTAATTCTTTATAATAGGAAGGCTTGACCATGAGAAGTGACACTTTTCCCATTGGTAACTGACACTCTGGGCCCCTCAGCCTTTTGATAGCTCAAAGTATGTCATCCAGCACATACTCTTACTCGTACTCTTCTTCTTGGGATATGGGGTCAGATGGAGAGTCGAGCTATTCCAGTGAGAGCTCTGATTCTATCAATGGGCTGGAAAACTATTTTGAAGCCAAGAAGTCTCTGCTCCAAAGCTGCATCAAGCGCAGTCTCAGCTCTTTGTTTTCTGCTCTTTGGTCAGTTATCCAGTCACTTCGCTTTGAGGAAGGACTTGTATCCTGGCCCTCAGCTCCTGAAGGAGCATCGCCGTCATGTGGAAGGTTGGGGTATGGACATGATTCGTCGGGCTGGTAGCTTGACCTGTTTAAGCTCTGAGGTGTCCATGCTCTAATTGTTCTGGGGAGGTTTTTCAAGCAATAACACCTGGACCTGTTCTTTGAAATGTAAAACAACAAGTGGCTGTTTGCTTATGCTTTGATGGGTGTGTGTGGTTGCGGGAAAGTCTTTTGCTTGTTGCCAAACCAGGTATTCAGCAAATGGTGCAATGCCTTCCGACAACCTGGACCTTGATGTCTGATTGTATCTTGTTTGAAGCCTTCAAAAAAAGATGTCAAGATAGCAACCTGTTTTTAGCAGCCGACAACCTGTTCCCAAGTCCTAGGTTCAGGTGCTGGAAGCTGCCTTTGGGCTTTGGAAGAACTACTTGGACGCGACAAGGTGCAATTCCCAAGAGCTGGTAGGGGTCTACTACTGTGCAGTCCATGTGTGCAGGTGGTGCTGACAGCAGCAACTGACCGGGCTTTGGCCCCTCTCAAGTTCATCTTGCGGAATTGCATGCCAAGAAAGCTACTTACCTATACAACGCCTAACGTGGACAAATTCAACTTGGATCCCATTGATGTGTCCCTGAGGCTTTTCACTGATATGGCCCAGCGAGACCTCACAGGCCTCTCAGATAGCATACTGTATGGAGCAGGATTTCCTTGTACCCCGTTTTTTGGCTGCATGCATGCATGCCCTTACATTCAAGCCCAACCTGGAGACACAAACTGTAGGAATTCAGAAGTGTGCTTGGGGGTGTAGTCTGAGGTTTTCAAGGTTGAGACGATCATCTGCGTACTTTGAGGAGGACGATGCCCAGTGCTTTTGGGATTGCCTAACTGCTATAGAAAGGCCAGGGCCAATCCTTTTCCTGTGACAAGGCTTTCCTTTGTTCAGTTCCAGTCATGTCTCATAGTCAAACTGGTTGTGCAGTCTCTTGCCACTGATCGCCGTCTTGGAGAATGTCTATGGCCTTCTGTCCCACATGGACAGGGTGCGCCTGTGAGAGAGAAACAAAAACAGTAACAGTCCCTTTGATGTCCTCTTTGATGCCAAGGTGAAGGCAGAAGCAGCTCCTCTTCGCAAGCACTATTGGATGTGTCACATCAAGGTCAATGCGGCTGACTCAGGAGACCCAGTGAGTCGAAGAAGGGTCTATATCCTGTTGGTGAGAAGGCTGGTTTGGAACCTTGACAACACAGTAAAAGAGCATGGTGTTGGTTCTAAACTTCTAAGCAGAAACACTGCTCAAACGATGTTTGTGGTGCAGGGATGTTGCCAAGAGCTTCAAGACCGTCCAGCAGTTCTCAACTTTTTGTGATGTCACCTACAAGAAGCTCAAAGTCTGCTCGCATGGAAAGACTTTGTGCTTCTCTTAGTGTGGGTCTCTCCCACTTGGCTTTGACAATCTCTGAAACTGCATGAGAATAATGTCTAGCAAACACACGCTTTCGAGGAGAGATCTCCTGCTTCCGCGCAATTGCCCTTACCTGCAGCATGCGTGTGAAGAAGCAAGAACATCTGCCAACAATAGACCTGGTAATCCAAACAAGTACGATCTTACCAGGGAGCTGCTTAGCTGTACTTTCTACCATGCCCTTCACCTGGATGGATTCTTTTTGTTTCCACTGGAGGCCAGTGCAATCTCAACCTCGTTGGCTGAAGTTGCATTGGGACAAGATGATGGAGCTGGAGGCTGGGCTTACAATGATACCTTTCTTTTCTCTCACTCCCATGAGCTGCAAAGCCTTTTGATTAATTTCTGCTAGGTAGATCCCAATGCCTTGGCTACACATCGCCAAGCCCGAAGATACTTCACCACCCAGCGTGCCTTACACGTAGACCAGCAGCACTTTCAGCTTGTTGTCCATCACCTTGCGGCGCCTGCATGATCTGAGGCCGTGGATGTGTACACCACAGCAGGATGGACTGGAGCAGTGGACCTGACCCAACAAATTGGGAGAATGAAGCTGGCAAATCCAAACATGCTGGCATGTGTGACGCCCAAAGGCACCCCCTTCCTGCTCAAAGAAGGGCGCTTGGTGACAGGTAGGCCCCTCAGTACACTTGATCTCTTTACAAAGTATTAACATTCCCTAGTCTCTGTGTCCCACAAGGTATGGAAAAAATGCTGCTTCAAGCCTTCCCCATACACCGTCTACGGTTGGGGCACCTCAGTGATAAGGAGCAAAGGGGGTTCTCAAAGGTTGTCTTGATTTTGGATGGGTAGGGTAGGCCATATGAACAACAAGAAGTGATCCCATTTTCCAGGAACTATCTGCCCTGGCAGGAAATGCTTTCACCTCAGACATGTTACCCATAAGTTCTACTTGCGCATTAAAATGTTTTGGTCCACCCGGCCCAGGCTATGCATTGCAAGTCCGTTGCCGCAGCGTATGCTGTAGCTCTTGCAGCGTGTAATGTCCAGGCCTTCCACAAGGAGGCAATGGCCAAACTTAGCAATAGGCCTCGGTAAGCTGGCAGAGGCAAAGGTGAGAAAACATGGAAAGATGGAAAGGTTTTCAACTGAGAGTGCAAAAGATAGTGCATCTTGGCAACCACAGCTTTGACACATGTTTCTTTGACTTCTTGCAAGAGCCATGAAACGGTTCAACGTGCCTGAAAGTCAGGGTAGTTACTCTGAGTCAAGTGACTCGGAAAGCTTTGATGGTTCCCAAGCTTCAGGCTCAGGCTCCTCAGGGGTTGAGGAGGCTGCTGGGCCCAAGCCTTGTCACGTTGGAGCTGGACTGCTTGTGAACAACTTAGCCATGTTACATGATGGTGAAAAAGAAGACACTAGCTGCTATGCCAAAAATGGGAAGGATCCCAAGCGAGTGAAGACAGCAATGACCACTGGATGCTGCGCCCGGAATTGCAAAAAGAACCTATCTTTCAGAACGGTACTCAGGGTAGTGGTCCAATTCTGGGCTTTAAGCAAGAGCGCCCAGGATGTCCTTTTGTGGTCCATCCAACAGCGCTCTGCTTTAGATTCCCTGGGTTCACTCAGTGATGCAAAGTCAGATGCAGACCTGGACGACCTGGACGACAGCGCTTCCAGCGATAGTGGGAGCTCAGTCTCATGCTCAAGCCGTCGTGTGAGATGTTCATGGTCCATAGAAGGCTAGGGTGCACAAAACACACTTGGTCTTTCATGTGCTGGAAACCCAATAGCCTGTTCATTTCTGGTCAGGACATCAAGTTTGTAGACAAGGCTTCTTACAAATTCTTGGAATCGGTGCTTGGAGGCTAGTCAGGACACGTGGGAGTTACAAAGGACAAGACCAACGTTCTTTTGGTTTCTTGCCAGCTATCTTGTCTTACTTGTTGCCAATATGGCACCCTGGAGTGTTGTCACTCTGTCCACTGAGGCTCTGTGGGTGGGCGGCCATCAGAGGCTGCAGCGAGCGTGACAGCTTTTTTGCAGAAGATCTACTGGAGTTTAGGTGAGACATTTCCTCATGAGACACTCGCTTAGCCAAGTTGGTTTGGTGAATGGTGACATGTTTCTTCTGTCATCTGCTTACCAAGACTATAGTATATAAGGAACTGCGTTTTTTCTCAGGATGAAAGTCAAGGGGATCGAGAAACTGGACACTGAAGCTGCTAGGCAACAGCTTTTCGAAGCTTTGCAGAACAGCGCGTTGGAGAGTGATTTGGCTGGGGTAATGAACCAAGGGCCAAACGACAACTTAGTGAGGCGTTGGCTTCCTCATGGAAGTTTCTTTGACCTGTATCTCATCTATTGTGCCAACCAAGTTTCTGCCAGTGAGCCTGTCGCTTCGTCTTCCACTTTCTACCGGGCGTTGGAAAATTCAGGTTGGAGGAAATTGCTTCGATTCCTACCGCCTTCGAGTCACTCCAAGTGTACCATTTGCAGTAGACTCAAGTCCAAGATCAAACATGCTACAGACATTGAAAAACACTTACAAGCTTGCGATCAATTGATGCGCCATTTAGCAGGCCAATTCCAAGACCGTGCTTGCTACTATGAGTTCAGGCATCGGGCCAAGACCACAGGAGACATTCTATGTCTCATCGTGGATTCAATGGATCGTGGCAAGTTTGCCCTCCCGCGCTATGTGGGAGGGCGAGTACCCAAGGATATTGCTGATGTCAAGCGACCATCAGCAGAAGTGACAACTGTGCTGGCTCATGGCCATGGGGTTTTCACATACCTAGCGGACGAAAACCAGACGGCAGGCTCCAACTGGACCTTGGAATGCCTCAACAGAACATTGGAACACATCTTTGTTCGAGCACAAAAGTTGGGCAAGGCCGTGCCTCCAATTCTCAAATTGTTCTCCGACAACACACCAAAAGCTACTTGGAGTATCTTAATGATGGTTCTTCAATGTTTCACTCCTTCACAGCCACCTTCACTCAAATCCAGGAAGTGAAAAATGGCCAGTTTGGGGCTTGGGCCAGCTCTGTCGTGGGGTGTGGCTA